GGTCATGGCACGAAGAACTGTCATATGTAACCACGCTGCGACATGTGTGCTATGGCCCACTCGACGGCGACCTGTGCTCAAGCTGATGACCTTGAGCCAAAGTGCGTGAATTGCGGTGGTACGCACCGTGCCACTACTCGGGACTGCCCCAAGCGAACGGAATACATCAACATCAGGAAGAAGGTGGCTACTAGCAACCAGCCAGGCCGGCAACGAAACAAACGTACACTAAATGCCATCACGGATGAACAATACCCGGAAATCCAGCCTCGTCGCCTGGTCCCAAATCTCCCATCCCTACCCCTCAACAATTAACGAGCCACCCCCTCATCTCAGCATCGCCTCACTGCTGCAGCGGCCCTGCCAAATCAAGTTTCTGCCTCGCCGCCTGGACTATCTTATGCCCGTGTTGTTTCAGGCGATTCAGTTGAAGAATCTCCGTTTACATCGGAGGAACTAGTAACGCTGGTCGCAGATGTGATCGTCATCCTGCGCACCTGCAAGACTCGATCTGAGCAGCTTCGTGCTGCCTTATCTCTCTTCACCAAGTATGGACCGTGAAGCTATAAAAATAGCAATTTGGAACACTTACTCGATTACCTCGACATCAAGGAAATCGACATTGCTATCATCACCGAGACGCACTTGAAGGGGGTTGGGAGTGGCCATCGCTACAAGACGGAATATCAGTTGTCGGCTGCTACCAAACTTCCAGCTAAAAACAATTGAAGCCATCGGAGTGGAGGTGAGCACATCACTTGGCCAAATTACCATCATCGTGGTCTACTGCCCCAAGCAAACCAACATCAGGGGCGGGTCGTCAGTGGCCCTCCGGAAAGACATCATCAAACTCACCCGGAGGAGCGGGGACTTTATCATCGCTGGCGATCTGAACGCAAAACACCAAGTTTGGGGAAACAAGAGCAAGAGGGCCACTATATCATCTTGGCCCCGGACACTTACACCCGGTTGAGTCGGTTTGGGGTTGCATGCGACCATCGAAATCTTCGTCAGTAACATGGGACACAACATTTCGTAGCCTGTGGCCTTCCAGGAGCTAAGCTCGGAACACTACCCGGTGGTGGTCATTTGGGTTTTATAAGGGTACTGTAGACTATGATTTAGACTTGTAGAGTGCTCAATAAACCTTGCTAAACAATGTTACTTGGGCTGGGATGTGCAATACGTGCTTGTGAACGATTTTCCACCTGAGCTATCCCACTGCGATCAAGCGTTTGGTTAAACGTGTTATCCATAACAAATGTTCAACGAAGATGGGATGGGCATTGAAGTGTGCACGGGGAATATATTTTATAACGGAGGATTAAAGACAAGTGTTTCATATGCGGAACTATCCAGGAAAGTCCAGAAACAGTCAGAAAAATAACTAATAAGAGTGAGGAAATTGACATGTCAAGGAGTGGAAATGGAGTTTTTTAAGAAATAAGCTACTTCTACTCTATTTCAAATCAATATCAATAAAAATGCACGAGAAGTTTACTAAACATCTCAACCATGCGGTCGTGTTTTGTAAACCAACCTACTCATTTTTTTTTAGAATGCTCATATAGAGGACTCAATACAAAGAATTCGGACTTGTGAACAGAAAATGACCCTGGGTGAACTTTAGGAAGATGGCGACTTCCGGTATGTGGAAAAGTGTAAAATACTCCTAAATATGGATATTTCTGGAATGGGGACGACCTGTAGAGGCTAGAAATCGATTATTGACGCCATTTTGGAATCAAAGATGGTGACCTCCGGTTTAAGAAAAAGTGTTAAATACCATATAATATGTACGGGGACGATGTCTAGAGGACGGAAATCGATGATTGACACCATTTTGGAATCCAATATGGTAGCTACCTGTTCATAAAAAAAGGGTCAAATACTCCACAATATGGTCATTTCAGGATCTGGGATGCCGTGTAGAGGCCGATAATCGATCATTGACACCCTTTGGGGATCCAAGACTCCGTTAATTTCGTTTTTGATATATATGGCGATAAGTCGAAGTCGAACAATCTTGATTCTTTCAATGCATTCAAAAAAGAATTCAACCAAAATCGGAGCAACCGAAAATTCCGGAGCTGAGGACCGTAACTAGACCATGGAGGGATCGAATGCTCGCGTTTGGTAACGACCAGCTGTTGATGAAACAATAACGATCGGATTACGAAAGCTCCTCGAATTGGTCGTTATGTTTTTGGGTGGAGTTCGTCCAAAAGGATTAAGATTCCACAAGTCAGGTAGCCTCAGCCGTGCGAGGTGGATCGGTGGCGAAAAATCATCATTTTGAAATCGTGGATGTGCAGTGAAAACTTCGACGATCAGTCTCTTTGGAGCATTACACAACTTTGGCTCTATTTCTATCGCAATGCTTCAATCGATATTGGTATCGTCTAAGTAAGGCCTGTACTCGAAAAAAAAATGCACAAGACAAAAGTGTTAGCCAAACATTTATTTTAAGTCGGATTTTCTTGAAACTTTCAGGGAATGAACTTATGCATATGGATTATGTTTCGGCATAATTACTTTATTTAATTTCCTTTCCATCGCTGAAAGCCCGCACCTTTCCATTAAGACCTCTCATTACATTTTGTGCAATGGTGGAGCCGACCTTTTTGGTCACTTTCATCCATTCTTTCTTCAACTCCAGCTCGTTCTTAAGCACCTTGGACGATTTTTGAACTTTGGCCTTCATTATGGCCCAAAATCTTTGCACCGGACGAATCTCTGGTGAATTTGGGGGGTTGGCGGTTTTTGGTACAAAAACAACGTTATTGTCTCTGTACCAATCCAACGTCAATCGCGCGTAATGGCATGATGCCAGGTCCTGCCAAAATAATGTCTCGCCTCCGTGGGACCGCAGGAAAGGAAACAGACACTTCTGGAGGCACTCGGTGCGGTAAATTTCGCTGTTGATGGTACCCATTGTGATGTGCGGTTTACTCACTTCCTTCTTCCTTATGTCTTCCGGAACATGATACCGTGACTTGGCAACGTAGAACTCCAGCCCTGGTATCTGCTTTGTGTCTGCCTTGATGTAGGTTTCGTCATCCATAACCACACACATCGGTATCGTTAACCACTCTCGATACAGCTTCCTTGCGCGGTATTTGACCACCGTGTTTTGTTGATCACGCCGGTTCGGTGCCTTCCGGACCTTGAATACACGAAGCCCTGCTCGTTTCATGGTTTGCTGAACGAACCAGGCGGAACACTTTGCCTTCAGAGCCGCGTCGCGAATCGAAAGGTTCGGATTACGCTTGAAATAATCCAACACCTTCCGGGCCTTCACAAGGTCAGCTGTCTTCGATTTTCTTCCACTTCCAGCCCGCCGCTCGGTCGTCTGGGACTCTTTAAACGATTTTACCACCCGAGACACAGTTGTATGGGTGATTCCCAGTTGTCTTCCGATCCATCTCATGGTCGCAGTCAGATTTTCCATGACGGCGCGCAAAATTCTCCGGCGATTTTCTTCTAGTTTCGATGACATCTCAACAACCACTGAACCGATTGTTATAAAATTTTGCACATGTAAACAATTCACTCCAAACTAGTTATACCCAGATTTTCATCAATTTTTACCCACGGATAAAAAAGTTACACACGGATAAAAATGGTGCATTTTTTTCGAGTACAAGCTCAGTACAAGTTCAGTTTTGGCCCCTCGAGTGGATCTGGAATTTTTGGCAGATCTCCACAACTTTCACGACCAACATTACGCTTTGATTGCCATGAAATGGTCATTTATGGTACATACCGGAATGGAACGTGGCCCTTGCTTTTTTTGATTTAAAAGTTGAAATCGACGAAAAAGTAAAGATGGTAGCTGCATATCTTTTTCGTTAAGCCTAATATTCAGCCCAGTCTGCATTTTTTATCCTATACGGTTTTGCTCTACACTCGGAATTATTGTAGTCAGATTATTTGAATTAATTGTGTGTCAAAACAAATACGCCCTTGAGAAAAATTACGCTTGTTTCCAAATGACCCTGTGCAAAGTTTCATCTAAATCGAAGATTATTTGCGCATGATATCGGCCTTCCTCCATGCTGAGTGAACCCCCACACAACGTGACTGTCTCGCGCAGACAGAGCAGCAGGCGGCAGCTGGCAGTGCTGCTAGAAAATAATAGTAATGAGCAATTCGTTTGGTTAGCAATCAGTAATGGCTAAATAACTTTTTCCACAAGCGTCGGATCGTTTTGCGGTCCAGGAAGAAAAGTTTTCTTATAAAATTTCCTAGGGTAAATTTGGATTGATTTATTTTTAGAGGACAATGGGTGTCCTCATCAGATTTTTATTTGAAAAAGTAAGTTTTCCCATAGAAATTCCTATGTAAAATTAAAACGACTGACGCTAAAATATAGTTACACGGAATGACCTGAAATTTTACACATTTTTTCTAGGACCCAAAAGGTCCTTGGAAATCATACTGGAACTGGAATTTGAGTTTTGTCCCACCCTAATACCTAGCTTGATTCACGGTTTCCCGTTAACTTTATTACATTCACCGCAATCCACTTGAAATGTGTATGATCCCTAAGCATGAATAAACGAGGCCTCGAGGTGGGTTGGATGATTCACGGTTATTCATTTCTACTTGATTACACAGCAAAAAAATAATTTTGATATCACATCAAAGTGGATGCACTACAATCATGTCGAAAATTTCATGTAATTTTTATGACCACATAAATAAACAAATGCAGTAAAAGCAGCGTAATGTCAGTTCATGCATTGTATTAATGATAATTTTGTCCTTTTTAGCAAGTAATATTACACCATATTTTCGACATGATTGTAGTGCATCCACTTTGACGTGATATCAAAATTATTTTTTTGCTGTGTATGAGAACGCGTTTACTTTATTTATTTATTCATCTTCATAGTTTGCAATGGTAAATGGTATGCTCTCCTGTACTGTACAATCGTGACACTATGTATTGATCACCCTCCGAAAAAACCAGAAAAATCATCCATCATTCTAATTACCTTGAAACGTCTGGCTCTCTTCTGATTGGGACCGGTTAAGTTGAGACCACATGAGTTGCACCTCAAACATTCCTCGTGGTAGTGGTTGTTTTCATACAACGGAGATGGTTCTGCAAAGAGACGAATGCAAATGATAATCAAGAGATTGCTGGATCGCAATAGGTCGTTATGTAACTCCTTGGCAACGAAAAATAAAACGGAAACTAACTAAAGGTAAACAGAGAAAACTGTAAGCATTATACCGGTGTGCATAAGAACTGCAAACTTTACAACATTGAACAACGATTAAACGGGATTGCTTGTGTGGCATGATTTGTATTTTGTTTTATCAAGTGTGGGACACTTAGTGTGTTTGATACGCTACTATATCTACTAGCTAGATGTCGGTGAAAATTGGATGTTGGGAAATCTCGATGTTGTCTTTGCTAATGGAACTGTGTGTCTCGCCACCGAGTTGTGTGATGTGCTCCGAAAGGAGTAGATACCAGGGATGCCACATTTACAGATTTATTCGTTATGGTGCAGATTTTTTGATAGTTTTCGAAGCAGAAATCTCTAAATTCACAGATTTATACAGATTTTTCACAGATATTTGATGACTAATATGTATGGAGCTCAAAATACAGATGAAAATGTGGCATCACTGAGATACCCCAGCTCCTTTCGTGTGGCTTTTGGGAATGCTTGAAACTCGGTTGTGAAGTGGAGTCGATTGTACTAGCGGGCCCAAGTACGTCAGCGTGTTCGTTCGAGCATACAAAGCTAGGAGAACCCTCCCGAACAAGCATTTTGCTACTAACAGCGATGAAAGATAAGCTGATTAGTAGGATGTTTTGTTTCCAGAGTATGCCAGCGAGAGCAACGACGACCGACGATGACGACGGTGGCTTCCCGAAGGAAAATACGCGCTGTTGGAACATCTGCAAAAACAATGATTGGCGTTGTTTTGTCCCGGAAGGAGGGTGATACAAAGATGGCGAACAAACAGGAAAAGAAAGGGTACAAAGTGGAACAACAAGACCAACGACAACGAAGACGTAAATAGACGACTCGTTGCCAAGTTGTACGTACATACGAACAACAATAACGGCGGATGTCCCGAAGGGAAAGAAACGTTTACGCTAAATAAAATTGCTTACATCAAGCAACTGCGGGTCTAGGCGTAGTTGTCAGTGTTAGACTTGAAGAGACGTTCCCCACATTCCTCGAGAGGATGGTTAGAACATTCCTTTCTTTATGCAGCGGCCTGTCAAAGAATGAACACTCTGGTAGTTCCGGGGGCGCCAGTCGGTTTGCTGTATTGTTGTTCTCTTGGGAGTAGATCTCATAACTTGTAACTGTAATGAGGTTGGTTGTTTTCCTTTTGTGGTACATTTCACCATTTGTGACTAAATGAACGTAACAACTTCGAACGAATTTCAAGCGCTTTTGAAAGTATCTGCTGCAGTTACAATTCTAGGGTAACAAATTCAGATGATGTAGGTATCTAATGGAAATAGAGGCCTCCCTTGGCTCAGTTGGCAAAGGCGCAGCTACAAAGTAAGATTATGCTGGAGGTGGCTGGGTTCGATTCCTAAAGGGTGAATTCATTAAAAATGGCACACCGAAAATCTTCTGTAACTTTTGAACCGTATGAGTAAAAAATCTTAAAATTTGAGCAATCTTATTCATAGTGTATTGTTTACATCTGTCAAGCTTCATAGTTATTCAAACAGTAGTTCCAGTGATGTCGTCGGAACAAGAAATTGTCCGTGAAAAAAATTGGTGCACTTCCAACCAAAGGCGTCCCAGAGGGGTCGTTTTCTTGCATTTGTTCATAGAGGCTCCTTTATACGTCACTTACTCTTGGTGTTGAAGGAAGAAAATTCGAATTCGGTTAAATCGGAGTAGGCATGCAAAAACGAGTAGGCGTTGCAAAGCCGCGTGTGGTAAAAAATTTGATTCCAAATTCTAAATTGTAGTGACCGGTTGACTGGACAAGAAGGTGATTCGTAGTGTCTATTGTAGTGATTGGTGGACTGAATAAACAGTGGTTCTTGTTTCTTGTGGCAGGTAAGTCCCGGTGTCTATTGTAGTGTTTAAAAAATGACTGAACCCCCCAGCAGGTGATTCACCGAGTCGGTAGTAGTAACCGATTGATTTAAAGAAAAATGGTCCTTGTTCCTCCCACTATTTGAGTCCCGGTGTCTGTAGAAATGTGTCATAGGCTTTCGAACGTATGTAACGTATATACTTACGATAATGAGCTCTAAAATATCTTTTTTGGTTGGTTCAGGTGAGTGCAATTTGTTTTGATCACTATTTGAAACGTGACGAAGTACACATATGTGTTTTATTTTAAATATTTAGAAACAATGGACAAACGTGAGTTGTTAAATCTTTGGAGGAGAACCGCAGGGAACCAAAATAAAAAAAAGGGGCTGCGTAGCTTCCGAGGTTATGGCTGTTCATAAAATAGATATGAATGTCATGCCAGATGTCGTTTCAGAAGTCGAGGCATATGTCAAGAGCATCTGTCACTACTTCCAAAAGCTGTGGGTCAAACATAACCGCACACCTAAAAAGATTTTTGGTTACTTTGATAATCCGGTACAACTGCCTCAATCTATACGTGATAAGTTTACATCTTCTTCCAAATCTAAACGACCTGGACGTGACCCTTGGTTTTATTTGCCTGTAACGGTGCATAAAATACTTATCCATGGCTCGACGATCATACAATCTTTTCTTGTGCCAATTAGGCAGTTATCCGAGGAGGCCAAGTCAAGGATTAAATACATCAGGCGCTTTCGGATGCACCATCCTCGAAAAATCTCCCGAACAGTAATAAACGTCGACCTTCTGAATCGTCTGCTTGAATCATCTGACCCGTTAATTTCAACAATAAGACCCCTTCCAAAACAAGCAAAACTTTTATCCGAAGATGCTCAAACTCTTTTAGTTCCATCTACCGATGCATGAACCGATGGTGAAACAGAAGTAAGCGACAATTCTGAAAGTGACGAGGAAATGGGTAGCCATGAATATTTTTTTCTTTGGTATTATATAAAACGGTTGATGAAAAATAACTATATAGAGATATAGGTAGTAATCATTTGAGGTAGTAATTTTGTTTTTAATGTTCTTAAAAAAAACAACAGCAACACAATTATACAGGAGTCGTGACCCTTTAGTTTGGTAATAAGCAGATCGACAGAGAATACTTATGAAGACTCATGATCTGGTATACATTGGGCTGCATTTTAAGTATACTTTCAAATGTAATCAACCTGGTTTGCCCAATTTTGCCCAACTTCGAGCTATTGACCTTGTAAATAGTGCTAATTTTGGATCAAAACCTTGAATATCTTGAGACATATTGGAGGTAGGGACTTGCTTCCCAAGACAAAATAGCGTATTAAAAAAAAAAACAAACATTTGTGTGGAACATACTAATGTCGAAAAATTGCTTCCTGAAAAGTTATTCGCAAAAAAAAAAATTGATTTTCATAAGGCTCTAACCAACAAAATGACATATCTCTGTTAACATAAGAGATAGAGGGTTGACGTCTTGAGCAAAAATGTTTGTTTTGATATAGTCTAAAACTTTGCTCTAGATACCATTTTGCTATCTTTACAAACAAAAAAAGTAAATTTTTCATCTACCTGCTAGGTGGATTAATCATGAAATGGTGAAGCTCAAAAGAAGGGGTTGTTTAAGTACACCAACTTCTCGAAAGACACTATATCTAGACAAACATTTCAAAAGGTCCTATCTGTCATTGAAGCTGATTGGAGAAAAATTGATTTGAATTTTTGCAATATATTTTTAAATGCCAATTTTAATTGCGACATAAAACGATAATCTTTTGTATTCTCAAATGCATAGGAAACACATAGAATTCGACTGAAGTGTATGTTTTTTCGTTTTATTCATAATTTTCAGGTGTAATTCGTGGTTTTGTTACATAGGACCTTTGGCTTTTTTCAGTATCAGTTAGGACCTGTCAAATTGGTCTGATTGCAAAGTTAATGTTACTAAGGACCTTGGTAAGAATACGGTTTAGAGGTCAGATAATTACAACTACATCATTATTTGTAATTGTTGATGGGCTTAAAACTACTATTCTGCCAATTTATTAAGTAAACAACGTTTTTTTTCTGATGTATGCAGGAAAAATGTAAGTGTATGGAAAATTTGCATATTTTTTTAATATTTGGTGTATTTTTATAAACAATTTTTTTTTCATTCTACATGATTCGTTTTACATTTATTAGCTCAAGCTGTTCATCAATAATTTACATTCATTCATTTTATTCGATCAAATCTACATCGCTGTCCTCCAGTGGATCGAGATACCGAGCGAGATCCACATCAAAGTGGTCTACAACGGTATTATTGTTCTTCTTCCTGTTTTTTTTCTGGAACTAAGTATTTGAGGAATGTTGCAAAATAATCTTTTTGCTTCACATATGGCATCAGTTTGCGTAAATCGTCCAATTTAGCACTTGGCAATTTAAGTGGTTGATCCGCAATTGGATCCAAATCCTCGACCAAATCCACGCTTGTAATATCGCATGTCGGATTTGACAGAATTTTGAATAAGCTTTTGCGTTGGTGTACTCCTGGAATAGCAACTAATTCGTCAACTCCATACCAGAATCAGAGCGATTGATTACAGGCATCGTAAATGAAACTTTCTCATATCCCACTTCCCAGTTAGATGTTGGATCCATAAGAATTTCTAAAGCTTCATGTTGATATTAGTATATCATTTCCAACTAACTATAATGAGTTTTAGTTTTTCTATTCCACGTGAAACACGAGATGAAACAAAGGTCCTAATAGCATTTGTAATTTTTTTTTGGTTGAATGACAGATTGGACTGTAAACATGTTTAAGGTCCAATCAGAGAGCTGTGCAATATTATAAAAACTTTCAAATTAGACGTTTTTTTTCACATATTTTTATAATTTTCTGAATATTGATAATTAAAATTTCTAGAACAATACTTAGAGATGGTGAGCTCTGCAGTACAGAGAAGCATTAAACTCGATTTGTTTACAAATTTCAGATAGGACCTTTTGAAATTTTTTTTTTTTTGTTAATTACTTTATTTGTACAGGCTCA